GTTGATGAACATTATACCTAAAAAATAGTTTTTCACGTAAATAAATTGGAGTTCCAGAGACAAGTAACTTATGTATAAAGGTTAGATAGTTGTATTTAACTAAATCTGTCATCTTTAACCAACCTATTAAAGGATAACGATCGGAAACATGATCAAATTTTCTTAAACTAAATATGAATCGTACGCAGTTATTTTATACTACAGATATTCTGTTACAAGGATGATAAACTAGATTGCTATAATTAAAAATAGATAACACAAAAGATTCACACAACTTTTTCCGCACTTTAAAATTCAGCAAATTTTTGTTCGCATACAGAGTTCTCAGACGGATGTAACCTCTTTGTAAGAGGTTATTTAAATGTTCACGAAGCCGCACGTTTTCATCAATAAACACACCTAGACACTTGACACTTTCAGAAAAAGGAAGATTTTGATTGTTAATAGATATAGTCAAGGAAGCTTTGACTTCGGCTCTTCTGTGATTTGGACAAAACAGCTCAGCAGAAGATTTAGAAGCATTAGTGAATGAAACCAGATATGTATTAACTTTTACAAAAATAAGTCAAGCAGTCTTGCGAAACTAAGATGAAAAAGATAAAAAGCAAAGGACACTCGTATTCACAGGCATGTCCGCAATAGATGAAGCAGCAAGAAATAGAAGGATTGTTAACCCGAGCGACGTACGTTTCTGCTTACTGGCTTCATCAGGCACAAATGAATGTGTATCGAAAACACCGAAGGTCGCAAGACTGCTTGTATTTTTTTATATTTACTCATGGGCTTGCATTAACACGGCAGGTAGCTATAGCTGGCCTCCGTGGCAACGTTAGTTGTGGGTTCGTATGCACGAGGTCTTCGGACCGAATACACAAATGTACCTGCTGGCTCTTGCTGGTGGTTTCTTGTTGTTTGTCCTTTTACATCTTTGTTTTCCTTTAGGTTGCACCCGTATCCTGTGGTGGGCATATGTTATCAGTTCGGTGTATTCGGTGCACATCCATTTGCTCGGGTTATCAATCCTTCTATTTCTGCTCCTGTTTCTTTATTGCGGACATGACCACGATTCCCATTTCTTCTGGTTACTTTTTATAAACGTTTCGGATTTGAAAAAGCACAGTGACAATGAGAATATGTTTTATATTTATCTGTCTTCCAGTTGTCGGTTCATTTGTTGTATTTGTACCACGTCGACGAAGAGATCTAGAGAAGACGTCATTGCAATTTTAAGACGGCACCGTCCAGGCCGAAACGTCAGTAAAAATAAATGCATACATATGTGATTTCATTAGGAGTTCTGTAAGATTAGCTATATTGGCACTTTTCAGGGGAGATTTGAAGCTTTCTATTCTCGATTTTTCTAGAGGGTAAATGTTGCAATATCATAAAGAATTAATGAAGTATAGAAAAGTAAGTAGCTGAATATTTAGCTAATAAAAAACCTCATCATCTTAAACGTTATTCCGGACCGACATGGAAGTCTTTTGGATTCTACATAGGAAGAACGACCGATTAGACAAGATCACAGCACTTGGGACCTCAGATTGTTAAAAAAGGTGGTGATGCGATTGTCCCCTACGCTAGCCATAGAAGACCAGCGTTCTCCCAGAATTAACGTTTGGAATGGATCCAGCTGGGCAGTCGCAAAACAAATGCTTGACTGTGCTTGACTGTCCAATATTTCTGTTCACAGCCTCCACATAAGGATGTGCCGTTCAACCTCATGTCACAAAGATGTTTCCTTAGCTGACAATGTCCAGCTGCAGTGCCTGTGAAAAACCGAATTTGCTGTCTGAACATAGACAGAACGTGTCTTGCTACTTCATCACTAGAATATCTGAGGAATCCCTTAGCCAGATGTCCTTGAAGACTTTGTGCGTGTACTGTTTTCGCATATTTGTCAGAGCTCCGATGGATAAAATGCACAGGGACTCTGCGCCAAGAACTTTGGTATCAGCAGCCTTTTTCACCAGTCTATGACCCTTCACACAGGCAACAGTTGTGTTGTTGCTGGTGGAAGCATTCGCCAAGTGTCGAATGGTAGTCTAGTACTGTTCTCGTTCTAAGCTCGTATAACAATTGAGAGTCGGCATTGGTTGTCTGCTATCCGTGCAGATCCTAATATTTTTGCATGTAACATTACTGCGGGGATACGGAAGCCTTGCAAAAAAGAAGTTAGCCATTTGGAGGTTTGAAGCTTAGAACGACTGTAAATGATGGCCTTTAGCCTTTTAAAATGCTTTACAGCAAATGAATAACTGGCATTATGCGGATGTCTTAAAAAAGTTAACCGTAACTGTAGCTCCACGTTTCATAGCCAATAGGTTCCTCGTTAGCTTCGTTTCAATTTTCATTCAAAGACTCCGCACTGTCGTGATTTTTAGTCCACCTTGTATTTGTATGCAAATCCAAGGAATTTGTCGTCCAGGCTTACTCACTTTGTTCAAATAACTGTACAATTGAAGAATATATTTATTATATCCAAAACCAGCGCACTCAAGTTTTGGCAGTACACTTCCTGACTCAGTATACGAAGGAGAAGAAGAAACGAAATGAATATTGTAAGTACTAATCGCATTGATCTAGTTCTCAGTTTATAATCTATTTGTAAATTTGTTTGCATGAATCTTTAAAAAAGGAACTGTTTACCGCTTCTTGCTCATTACAGTCAGAGAAGTACTGCGATCACGAAGATTTTCGAATTTCTGCCGTTCATCTTTTAACTTTGGTGTTTTGTAATGTGGTAAAAAGCTGATGTCATAGTAGGTTAATATACAGGGTGACATGTAATGTCACGTATTCCCGTTAAGGGGTGATAGATTAGGTCAAAAGCAACCGATTTTGTCCCATAATGTCCTATCCAGAAGTTAACCGTTTTTGAGTTATTTGAATTTTATTTTTTTTTATTTCTTATTCCGATTTCAGACGGTTAAATTTGAAATACAAAAAAACTACATGTTTGATTTTGAGTTTTTTGTTATCGTCGCATAGCGGACATTCCAATAGTTCATAATAAGTAATAAAATGTTGAAAACTTACAAAAGTTTTAAAATAACGCTTTTGAAATGTATGATTTTCTTATTTTTTTACTAACTTATCCGATAAAAAATGCAATTTTCTGTAAAAAATCTTCTAGTAATGAAATGTGCAAATTATGTAAATAATATCTCTATCTAACAAGCTTCCATTTGAGGTATAAAAGTTACAACTAACTCAAGTACAAAGACATAAAATTAAAAAAAGATGAGTAAAGTTGTACGAACGATAATTACGTAGGATAAATAAAAGGCTTTTATTTTAATTACAGTTTAATTTAATTTCATTTCCTTTAGTATTTTACAGATTCTGCTCAAATTATAATCCCCTGTTACGAATACACGCCCGCATTCTCTTACGTAATGCACTGTTGGTAACTCTAGCTGTTAAGCGGCTTTTCATTTGGTCAGCTGCACTGATTATCCTTGTAATTAATTCATCGCGCGTTGGTACGGGCGAAACACCGTACACCAGGCTTTTCATATGTCCCCACACATAGTAATCCATCGGTGTGAGATCTGGACTTCTTGCTGGCCAGGCAATGGGCCCGCCTCTGCCAATCCATTGATTTGGAAATTTAGAGTCTAAATACGCCCGTACTAATCTACTGTAGTGTGCGGGACAGCCGTCGTGCTGGAATCGCATATTTTGTCTCGTCGCCAATGGGACGTCTTCCGTTAATGGAAACAAGTGATTTTTCAAGAACTCTTCATACACTTCTCCCTTTAAATTGGCGGGCAGAAAATGAGGTCGAATTAAATATCCATCAATGATGCCCATCCACACATTGACTGAAAACCGGCTCTGAGACCCCGTCGGTCTTATTTTTCGGGGGTTTAAAGCTTCTTTATCAGCACAGTAATGAGCATTATGGTAGTTAGTGATCCCGTTCTTATCAAACTTCGATTCATCGGTCCACAGAATTTTCTTAAAATAGTCTGGATCTTCTGTATTTGCATGTAACATGTTCCTGCAGAAATCTAATCGTCTTGCAGGATCGCCCTCTTCAATCACACGCACAGGCGTGTAGTGATAAGGGTATAATCTTGCAGTACGCACAGTAAACCATACTTTGTATTGTGATATACCCAACTGAGCAGCCACAATGCGCGTAGACGTAGTAGGGTCTTCCTGAAACACACGGAGGATTTCCTCTTCATCTTCAGGAGGATAGACTCGGGGTCGACCAGCATCACTATGTTGCCTTTGAACACGTCCGGTTTGGCGGATGCGCCGATACACAGACTCAAACCCAGTAACATGAGGTGTTCGGCGATTCGGGAAACGTTGCCGATATTCACGGCGGGCTGCCATGACAGAACATTATGTCTGCGTATTCTTCATTTGTAAAAGTTTGCCCGTGCTCGCTATGGCGAGGTCCTGGCGGATCTTCTGTTGCCATGATGATAAAGAAACTACTCGAAATGAACTGGGAAACTCGAAAATAATAATCGTGCGTAAAACGTGTGCGCGTACGCAGTAGTTAATACCAACTAAACCTAATTCTCACTCGGCGTGCGGCGATGGCGTAACTACAATGATGAATAATAACAGCTCTCTCTCTCTCAATCCTCCACTAAGTCAGCTCTTCTCGCTCGCTTCCTCGTCGAGCCGATGCCATAAAACAATCATGGCATGCGAGTCCTTTCAGGACAGTAACGACTTGTTCAAAATTCCTTAAAAATCCAGCCTCTTTGGGTGTCATTGTTGTTTCTCTGCATGTACTTCAGATAATTAAACGCTTAATACCTCAAATGAAAGCTTGTTAGATAGAGATATTATTTACATAATTTGCACATTTCATTACTAGGAGATTTTTTACAGAAAATTGCATTTTTTATCGAATAAGTTAGTAAAAAAAAAAAAGAAAATGATACATTTAAAAAGCGTAATTTTAAAACGTTTGTAGCTTTTCAACATTTTATTACTTATTATGAACAATTGGAGCTGTCTGCTATGCGACGATAACAAAAAACTCAAAATTTTGACCTAATCTACCACCCCTTAACAAGAATACGTGACATTACCCTGTATTGGACTGTACTAGTTTATTTTTGAAAACGGTATATTATAGTGATAATTTGTTTTATACATGTAGGAGGGCTTCATTTGGCACAGTTTTATAGGTATAGGTGAATTTCCGTTCACAGAGAAAGTATTTTTTTAATCGTAATCTCGTTGAACTTTTGAGTATCAGTCGCTTGTTTCAAGAAGCAGCCAACGTGTTCAAAGCGGTTAAGCTGCAGTATGAATCAATGAATTCATTCCAACATTTTTCACTGGCTCAAGAGATTGGGTAATATGGGACATTTACAAAAACAAGTAATTAAGGAACTATTTCAATAAGCATAAGCGTATGATAATAAAACATTCATTGCGATTGTTTACTTTAAAATTGATTTGTAATGAATTTATTGATTCGTAATGTAGAGATTATACATCGTACGTTGAAAAAATATTGATACTGCATTATGCCTCAGTGAAGTAGAAGCCAAATATTTGTTGCAGGTAGAACTTATATAAAGTGTAAAGTAATTTTCATGATAATGATCAAGTTGCCATTATCTAATCACGATGTTTTTAATTCAAAATCGAGTTAGTCCCCCTGTTCCACAATACTCAAATAATGATTCACTTTTCTCGATTATAATTACAGTTTGTTGCTAATTTAGATATTATTTTTATTAAAGATGTATCAATTCATATTGTCGTGCATAATAGTACTCTTGGTAGGGACACTGTATGGCAGATCGACAAACTATCACTTTATCTACCGATGTGATCAATACGTTGAACCCAAGGTTCCATTCTGTAGCTATAGATAGTGTCGTGATCTCTACTGGGTTCAAAAATTTCAATATGACCAATTCAAAATTGATCCGAATGATCAAAAACATGGCTCCAGGATATTTGAGAATTGACGGTACCTTAGCGGACAGGATTATATTTTCTGAGGATGGATCAGGAACGCCAGTAGCAGGAAACTTTCTGCTAACAGGTAAGTAAAGTTTTTTACACCACAAGGATTCTAGCGAGGAAACATGTGTACATGCAATGCATTAGCAGAAGAAATTGTTTGGGATGGGACTCGAACCCGCGCAGCGCATGGCGATCAGGAGACCCGTAATGTCTACCATTACGCATGCTTACAACAACAACAATTCTAATGGAAGATCATCTTGATTGTTGAATATCAAAGAATGTTTTTATGATATGAAAAGGAATAAGTGACTGGATTGACGTTGTAACCGTAAGTTTTTGTCAAATTATCTAGGCCAAGTGTTCAAAGTTGGCCTTAATTCATGACCTGCATTTTTTAGTGAATGATATTTTTAGTATCCGAAAATAATCCCTTTGCGAGATTTCTTGAGAGGCCCAACTGAGTTTCACATGTAACTGTGTTACAGAAATCACCTCTATTTGATAGACAATATCTTTGAGGTGACCCAAAAAAATCGTATGGATTTAGGTCCAGAGATCTTGGTAGCCAATGGATAGGACCAATGCGAAATAGGACAAGCGTAACGAAAAAAAAGTAGGACAAACCTGACGAAAAAAGTGGGCGAACCTAACCAAAAAAGTAGGACAAACTCAACGAAAGAAAGTGGGACAAGCAACGAAAAAAAGTGGCACCAACCTAACGAAAAAATGTGAGACAGTGCTGACGAAAAAAATGATCATACCTGGCGAAAAAGTAGGACAAACCTAATGAAAAAATTGGGACAAACCTAACTAAAAACCTGGGATAAACCTAACGAAAAGAGTGGGACACACCAAACGAAAAAAAGTAGTATGCACGTAAGCATTTATTAAATGCTTAATTATTTCTTTTTCTACTATTTAGACCCTTTGATTTTAGATAACATTTTGGCTTTTACCTAATTATTTAATTAAGGTTAGGGTAAGCTGGTCATCATAATATAACATGGTTAAGTATGAATGGCCAATTCCATTTCTTAGATTGCATTAAAATAATACAAAACTAATAAAAGTTTTTCTGTGAATATAAATCGTATTTTTATTTCCTACTGGAGTAGTTTAGTGTAAATTCTCCAATATCTCTCGATATATGATAAGAATTCTAGAGGGTTCAACGAGTTAGAGGGACGGAAATGAGTGACTTTGAAACAACTGAAAAACATGCCAACTTCAAAACTTTCGCGATTCACCTCTCTCACATATTGGTGTACTCATCTAATTACATTTGAGGCTTCCTTGTTCAAAAACTAACTAAAATTATTAGGTATCTTCAACTGTAATAGTAGTACAATTTCGTCATAGATTGTCGAACCCGTTCAAATACACTAGGTCCATTTCTTAATAGCTTTCGCATCAGTACCTGGCTTATAGTCCTTGCAACCGCCGGACTTGAATCCTATTGGGTTTTCCCTGTAGGGTGAACCAGAACTTCAGTGGAGAATCGGATAGTTGCTGGATAAAATATAACCCAATAAGAGATGATTTTGGTGTATTTGAGATAGTTCGACAACCTCGATGAGAGATTTAGGCCTTGCATTATATATACTAAGTGACATATAAATCCGAACACCCAGTTTAAATGGTTTTATTTTAATAAAATTTTGTATAAGGACTTAATGAAGCATAATAAGTAAATGATAAAAATTTCAAAATGATTGCACTGCTTTAAAGCCCTTTGACCTTTAATAATGTGTGGATGCACCCTGATGTGCTACGCATTCTCCAACGCGCCTAGGCATGCTTCTGATCAGATGGTCAATGTCCTCCTGTGGTATCTCATTCCAGGCAACCACCAACTCCTCTCGAAGTGCTTCTAGAGTCTGAGGAGGACGTTGCAAATTGAGCAATCTCCTACCCATCATATCCCACACGTGCTCAATTGGGGATAAGTCGGGAGATCTTGGTGGCCATGGTAACAATGTGACATCATTATGTTGAAAGAAGTCTATTGTGACTCTTGCAACATGTGGTCGGGCATTATCTTGTTGGAAAGTTCGATCTGCCAGGGTATCAAGATAGGGTAAAAGATGGGGTTCTAGAACTTCGTGGATATAACGCTGCGCGTTCATGTTACCTCTGATGAAGATTAAAGGTGACCTGGAACCATAAGCTATAGCACCCCAAACCATAACTCCAACAGTGTGATGAACATGTCTTTCAACAAAAAACTGTGGATTCCTCCTTTCACCATGTCGCCTTCTAACCCTAGCACGGCCATCGTGCATGCCTAAACAAAATCGAGACTCGTCACTAAAGACAATACTGTTCCATTCCTGATCCCAGAGTGACCATTGTCTGCACCACTCAAGGCGATTACGTCGGTGTTCTCGAGTTAAAGGGAGGACCCAGTGTGGCCGGTATGAAAACAAGCCAAAACTTCTCATTCGTCGGTAAACACTTCGCATGCCAATAGGTCTTCCGTGTTCTGCAAACCATTTATTTGCAATGGACCTGGTAGTGGAGAAACAGTCCCTTAAGGCCAATAATCTTAGGCGGCGATCTTCACGGTCTGTTGTTCTACAGCGGCGTCCAGTGCCCCTTGCTCTTTGCGTACGGCCTTCTCGAAGCCATGCCTGACAACACCTAACCACAGTGTCTACACTTCTTTGCACTCTAACTGCAATTGCCCGAAAAGAAAGTCAAGCTTCCCGAAGTCCCACTATACGGCCCCTATCAAACTCACTAAGTTGACGAAATCGTACAGGTCTCCGTACTCTAGGCATCGTAACCGATCGTAAAGGATGTCAAGAACCAAAATCCGCCAACGTTGATTCTTTACTGCGGCTGAAATATTCATTTTTAGAGCGTTAGTGAATTAAAAAAAAGCAGTATAAAAACCGGAATGTCCAACTGATAAGGCTGAAAAATTTTTCACTTGTTATATGCAGTAAGATAAATACATTCACCAACTTTTATTAAAATAAAACCATTTAAAGTGGGTGTTCGGATTTATATGTCACTTAGTATATATAGAGGTAATTATCAGGTAACCAAATAAGTTCGTGCGGTTTCTGTATATCGCACATTGCCATGGATGCTGTTGATCGATAGCGATTGTTTGTTACCTGTTGTCACTTTAGTATGAATCCTTCTTTTCTCACACATAAAGAAGTTACTGAAAATTGTTACATTCCTAGTTTTAATAATTGAAAATGGCGACGAATAAAACAGTAATTCGAAGTTGTTTACTGTATGAGTACAAACTTGATACAAAAGCTGCTGCGGCGGCAGCGCGAAAAATATGTACCGCATTCGGAGATGATGCCGTTAGTGATCGAACAGCACAGAAGTGGTTAAAAAAATGTTCTTCGGAAGATCTCAGTTTAAGCGATGAAGCGCGCTCAGGGAGACCAAAAATGAACAAAGAGTATCTTCGATAGGTTGTGGAAGCAAATTCCAGGACAGCGTGCCAAGAACGTGCAGAAGTGTTCAGAGTGAGTCCTGAAACTATTCGCTTGTATCTTCATTAGCTAGGAAAGACATGGAAGTTAAGCAAATGAGTCCCACATCAACTGACAAATGATAACAAATTAAGTCGTCTTACCATTTGTTCAGCAAACATTTCACGCAACGCTAATGAACCGTTCTTAATCGGTTATTAACCTGCCACGAAAAATGGATCTTGTATTCGAATTCTAAGCATTCGTATCATTGGTTGTCGCCTACTGATTCGGTACCACACACGCCCAAGGCTTCCTTGCAACCAAACAAGGTTTTGTTGTTTGTTGGGTGGACAGCAACTGGAATTGTCCATTATGAGTTTTTGGAAAGGTCTCAAACCATCACTGCTAGCTTGTATTGTGAGCAGCTTCAGCGAGTACAAGCAGCACTCATCCAGAAACAGCCTTCTTTGATCTGTGATATTCTTGCAGGATAACGCCAAGCCTCATACCGCAAAAGTGACCCGAGAAAAAATTTCTGAACTCGGCTGGGAAAAGTTACCGCACCCGCCATATTCTCTCGACAATTCGCCCAGTGATTATCACCTTTTTTTTGTCTCTTGACAACTACGTATATATGAGGCACCGACAGTTCACAACTTGAGATGGTGTAACATGTGCAGTCCGCCAATTATTTGACTCCAAATCCATGGAGTTCTGCAATACCGGCATACAAAAATTGGTTCCACGTTGGCAAAAGGTCAATGAATTTGATGGTAATTACTTCGACGAATAAATAGTGTCTTATTGTTTCTCAATAAAAGATTATATTTTTCTACTAAGAACCGCACGAACTTATTTGGTTACCTGATATATTTGAAAGTCTTTGTAGATTCTAAGAATCATATTTTCCAAAACTTTGTTCGCCCTTAATCTCTGAAACAAATCGTCAACTGACAAACTTGGTTTCAACGGGTGACTATTTTTGCTCCGATTTTTGGAAACACCACTAACCCTATTTTGATTTGTTGCATCCAGGTGCTAGGAATCCTGATCGCCATCTTGTGCATATGTGCAGTTTGCTCCAAGCCACACAGCGATCCCCAAGAGAATGTCCTAGAAACAAACGCCAAGGATCTTCAGCAAGAGCCAGAAGATATGGAGACGGCTGACACGATGGCTTTCAGACCTCTGTTTGCGTACAGAAGAAAGACGGCACAGGGATACAGGATCAACAGGAGGAGTGATTACAGTGGTTATCGTCCTAGGGGTAGATGGGTCTACGTCTACACGTAGGCTTACTGCTGAAGGACATTTGTACTGTTGTTCGCATTTAGGAAAAAGCAAGAAAATAAGATCTTGTTCACCAAATCGTCAAGGCGGAGTGTAGGTAGTATATACTAATACCTTTCCATATCTGAAAATAAAAAAGTTGTGAATTCGGTTTTTACGGATATACATTTTCTAAACACTCCACATCTTCAATCACATATCTCAGACACTATGGAACCGATGTCTTTGAAATTTTCCACGAAGTTACCTAGAGGTAATGTGGAACTAGAAGGACGGTGAAGAAAATCCAGGGTCGGACTCAATTTTTTCACTTCTTTAGAAAAACATAATATACATGTTCGGCCCTGCATACTGCCTTTTTCTGCACTTTTAACTTTATTTCAAGTTGGTCTGGAAGGTTAAATTTATTGGAATTGCAAATAAAATCCCGTTTCCACTCTAAGCAGACCCCTTGTTGTACAATATCAGTTGGTAGAATTAATTCATTGAAAAAACTACCGAAAAAGGTAAATATGGTGTATAAAATTAATTTTCCTTTTTATTTATATGATGTATTTTTCTTTTTTTCTGCAAAATAGTACTAAATTCAGAGCATCCCTAATAAGTAATAAAAAATGTAGCCCACCTGGGATTATGAGTTTTAAAAACATCTTTAGATCAATATTATTTTAACTAACTGTTGAAATTTTGAGTTTTGTGACACATAAACTGATAAAAATTAGAGATTAGGATTAAATAAACATTTTTAAATGAAAAAACTAAAAGTGGCGCAATTAATGTATTTTGCTAATTAATTAGCACCGTTTATTAGCTTCTTTGTACATAGTCAAACATTTCAAATATTCAGCTTAAAAGGTGTTTTGCTAAAAAAGTAAAGTAAATTCGTCCTGGATTTTTAACTATCCGTCTAGCTTTACGTTACTCTTGGTAACTTTGTTATAGTGCAAAATTTCAGCAAAAGTGCCGAAAAAAACGGCTGTAATGATGTTAAAAGTTTTTCATGATTAGATATATCCATAAAATGAATGAATTTAGAACCATCTATTTTCAGATATGAAAAGGTCTCGGTCCATACTACCATTTCACTATGTCCATTTAAGTACGGAACACACTTTATTATCATCCAACCTCATCGTTTGGTATATTTCTTGAGCTAAAAGTAGTAGCTCAAACTATTCCATGACAATTATTGTTTTTGTTTGTAAGAACATACTCATATATCCTTAATCGATATCTGACATGACATCAATTTTGTTTTAATATCTTGGTAATCTCCCTTATGTCGAATGAACTGAAAACTTTCATAATGATATATTTTCTTAGATCCATAACTGGTAATAAAGACTTCAAGACCTAACATCAGGTTCAAACTTGTTCAGTTTAAAATGTTTATTGTATTCGTTCATGATGTATGATGTTGTATCGCCTGGAACTAGAGTCACACATATTTAATAAAGAAAATACATCAACTGGTTATTAAGTCAATGATTAACAAGTACATTAAGATAATACGATAAGATGTGCAAGCTTCAGATGATAGGCTGGAATGTCCTTACCTTCGTTTTACCATTTTGTGTTTTTGCAAATACCTTATTATCTAATTTTATTTACAATAAAATGCCATCTGGACCTACCAAAACATCAAAATAAAGATCGATGCGAATTTTCAGTTTACCTTCGTTTATTCCAAGGTTGGAACATTATTTTTACGAGTATTTTTATCTTAATTATATGTGATTCGGACTGGGCTTTCAAATATTTTGTGGATGGAACAAAATTACAGAAATATAAATGCGGATATATCGATAGAAGTTGTTAAGGACACTGTCGTAATTTTCCTTTTATTTTTTCTGCAGCTCTTGCCAATTGTAATGTTATGAATCATTGAGAGTGTCTAGTTTTCACTTATTAATATTAATTTATTTTTTTAATGGTTAACGTATGCATTATTGTTATATAAAATCTATTTATTATTATTTATTTTTGGTATATTTAAGCTTTTTAGCTGTCAGCCTATTTATACAATAAAAATGTAACAAGCTCGTTCATATTGTTATTATACCCCAAACTCTATATTTCGGCATGATTGTGAACAAAAAAATGGCGTCAAGTAGGTCGACTCCGCACTTACCACCGTCATAAGTTCATAAAGGATTATGTTCAGCACAAGTTAGACCCTGAATAGAGGCTAGTTGACATACTTTAGTTCGTTGTTCCAGAGACCAAGCCTAGACCATGCTGATGAGTTTCCAAAAAAGCACGAAACAGTTGTCCTTGGTCGGACGGATCAGCTGTTAGCCTATTTATACAATAAAAATGTAATAAGCTCGAGGATATTGTTATTATATCCCAAACTCTATATTTCGGCATGATTGTGAACCAAAAAATGGCGCAAGTAGGTCGACTCCGCACTTACCACCGTCATCGGTTCGTAAAGGATGATGTTCAGCACAAGTTAGACCCTGAATAGAGGTTAGTTGACATACTTTAGTTCGTTGTTCCAGAGATCAAGCATAGACCATGCTGATGAGTTTCCAAAAAAGCACGAAACAGCTGTCCTTGGTCGGACGGATCAGCTGTTAGCCTATTTATACAATAAAAATGTAGGATATTGTTATTATACCCCAAACTCTATATTTCGGCATGATTGTGAACCAAAAAATGGCGTCAAGTAGGTCGACTCCGCACTTACCACCGTCATCAGTTCATAAAGGATTATGTTCAGCACAAGTTAGACCCTGAATAGAGGCTAGTTGACATACTTTAGTTCGTTGTTCCAGAGACCAAGCCTAGACCATGCTGACAAGTTTCAAAAAAAGCACGAAACAGCTGTCCTTGGTCGGAGGGATGAAAGCAGCATGTTTAAGGTCTAACTTAAACATGTTGCTCCGAGAAAAAAGTTAGTTACAAATATGTATAACAAAAATTAAACGAAAGTTCGTTAAACAGGTCCATACAATTAGTCCATAGATATTCTTTCCCTACCCTACCCGTAGTACCGGCCATCTGGTAACGTTGCCTTTCCCCGATGCCTGGTCGCAACACGCGTCAGGCGCGGTACATCGCCAGTCATACCAGGGCATTTACGAAGACCGCCGCACCCTCCGGTGAAGTCAGAGAGCAAACGCAGGGGCGCGTATCCAAAATATTTCTCTATCGTCTTAAGGGCAAATGTACGGGGAAGTCGATGTGTGAAATATGTCTAATAGGTGCCGGGATTGGAAGTGTATTAATATGCCAACATCAAACAATTTCGATACACCCTCCCTCTCCCCCAGAACCACCTACCTCCTAATTTTTTTACCCCTAAAAAACTTTCACAAACGATCAGGATCCAGATTCGGTGATTTTCATTCCCCTGCTACCACTTGGCCGATTTTCAAAAACTACCAAGCTTTGCCGTCCTTGGCATAGTAGTGAGTTTGTACAAGTCCGAGAATTACCTTCCAAGGTTAGCTAGGTCAAGGATTTGCGGCGTGACCGACAGAGAGACGGATTGAAATTAATGACATAATGACATTTCGTAATGCACATCTCATATAACATAGGAAATCATAATATCTCCTTTTCGAAATTTTTCGCGATTTCAATACTTTCATCGCCAGTAGGCGCGCGTAGTAAAATAGTGAAATGTTGATATCAGGCGTTTGTGCCTATATACACAGTTATCTACCTGCTAAACATGAAATCCAAACATTCCTCATACTGCACACTCCTCATATTGGCAGGGATTGTAAGTGAATCCGATCATTATCATATTATTTCTTGATCTTTCCCATGTTCTGATTGCATTACAGTATGGAAGAGCACTTATAGTATATACCAAATATGCAGAGGTCGATTCTGGTGTGATAGATGGCGCTTTGCGCTGCCTTATATCGTTTTTCGCAGTGGTCGATTTTGGTGTGATAGATGGCGCTTTGTGCTGTCCTTTATCATTTTTCGCAGTGGTCGATTTTGTAGTGAAAGTTAATAAACTTGCATATCTTTCAATGCAAAAATAATTTTTAGCTTTAACAGTGGTGTGCATACGTGTATTGACATCGATATTTTTTAAGAAAAAATGGTATGCCAATAGTTATTTGCCAAATAAAAGATATTTTTGAATTCCCCGTTCAATTTAAAACAAATGATCTCTCTTAAATTGTTTTCATTCGATGCGCCATTTTTGAGTAAAAAAATAAAAACCGTTCTATTGTCCGAGAAAATTAATGTAATAATTGAAGAATGCAATTTAGCAATAAATATCTAGTTGCTCTGAAATATGTCACTAGCTTTTGACATCTGACAAGTCTCTGTTATTCAAATCTGTTCGCTGTAACATCTTTTTCATTATTAGGTTCTTACAATTTTGTTAATAATGGTGGAATATTCAAATGCAGAAATGCATTACGTATATGACCTTGCCAACGGTAATGGTGAGCAAGCCAGACGGATTTATCACCAGAGATATCCCGATCGTGCTTTGCCAGATAGTCGAACCTTTTCTAATATTCCTCGTCGTCTTGTTGAAACTGGTTCTGTTGGAAAAGGAACATCTGAAGGTAGACCTCTAAGTGTGAGAACACCTGAAATTGAGAAAGCAGTGCTGCACGAAGTCGAAGAACATCCTGAAAGGAGTACGAGGAAGATCGCTAGACACTTAAATATTTGCCATCAAATTGTTTGAAGAATTTTAGTGGATCTTTTGTTACATCCTTACCATATTTTAAGAGTACAGGCATTGATTTTCCAAGGCGTGTGACCTTTTGTCAGTGGTATCTTCAAAAAATTACACAAAATCCGCAATTTGAATCACTTATTCTGTTCACGGACGAAGCTTATTTTTCTCGAAATGCCATTCAGAATTTCCACAATAATCATTTGTGTGCAGAAGAACATCCCTATGCCGTAGCCGAAACCCATTTCCAACACAAATTTTCGTTTAACGTATGCGCAGGAATTATTGGCAACCACTTTATTGGCCCATTCTTCTTGCCGGGGCGTCTTGACGGACAGACTTACCTCAATTTTCTTCAACAACAGTTGCCTTTGCTGCTTGATGACGTTCCGTTAGTAATAAGAAACAATATGTGGTACACACATGCATGATGGTGCACCAGCGCATTTCAGTGTGGCGGTTCGTAATTATTTACAAACTGTTTATCCAAATCGTTGGATTAGCCGCGGTGGGCCCCAAGAATGGCCAGCAAGGTCCCCAGACCTCAACAGCTTAGATTTCTTTTTGTCTACACAAGTCCCATTAACACTGTAGAGGAATGAAGAGAAAGAATAGTTGCAGCTTGTAATAGAATAAAAAACACTCCAGGGATATTTCAACGAGTGCGCAATTCCACGAGAAGGAGGGCGGAAGCATGCATACTAAGTGAACAATTTTAGTTATTATCATCAGTGAAGCTTTAAATGAAACGATTAGATTACGAAATGATTCGCAAGACACTTCAATACCACATGTCCACAAAAAACCAATTGATAAATCGAACTATAAAATGAAAAATAAATAATAGTTACTATAGTAAAAAACACATTTTTTACTCTAAATTGAATTATCCTGTTAATAACTTAAATTTTACTATAATTTTATTTTGAGGTCATTAATTATGATTGATTGTTCGACCATCTACTGCTGTAATATAAACTCTTTGTAATTAAAAATTATTTTCTACTTTTTAATTCGGTTAGCTATAAAAGCGTGATTTATTTTGTTAATACTTTGTTTCTAGCTTTCACTGTGAGGCGGTATCCAAGATACGGGTTGTTTGAAGAAGACTACTGCAGCTCATAATTATTTTAATATAGATGATTTTATACAAGATATATTACAATATTAAAAATTATTGGTAGTCACAGCTCTATAGAACAGGTATGGTAACTTGGTAACAGATTCAACATTTATTTTGATCTCTGATGAATTTTTCGAGTTTGAAGGCAGTGTCCAAGAAATATCTGTTATCTGTATGGTCGACAATGACCATGACACATGGCGTTATCCTATTCTTCATCACAGATATATCGAGGAAAGCTAGCAGTGCGTCCACTTGAGATGGCCTAGGTGGTTCGTCTTCGTAGCGGCCTAAATAAAAGTAATTATAATAAAACACACGAATTACTGATGCTCCCAAGCAATATTGTCTCCAGGAGCAGCTTGTGAACGCAGCTCGCAAGTTGACAATGTTTTTGAACCAATGTTATATTAATTGCAGAGTTGAAATAGCTTCGTACTTTGTATACACTTTTTATTTTTACCAGTAAAGCGGAATTTATTGCCAAAATTAACACACATTTTGCAAGTCAGGTTAGAACACACGCCACTATTTGACGTGACCCTATTTCACGAGTATCTACCCCGCTTTGACGTCTACTGAGGTAAACTGCTGGTCAGCAGGTGACATTTTTGTATTAGTCTGCAACGTTGGCAATAACAATTCGGGTGTAAATTTAGTAAAACTTGCTTGTAGCGTTTTTGTATACAAATCAACTTTTCTAAATGAAAGAGTGGTGAGTAAGTACAAAATAAATCTGTAGCGTAAAAAAACCAAAATAAAATTCGCCATCAGAATTATGTGTCCCTTGCCAGTATGGGGAATTTTGAAATATTACTAGATAATCAGCTGTCATTCTACCGTAATGGATACTCGCGAGAAAGACAATATTATGCTTATGCGTTTTATTTTTTTTTTTCATGGCTAGGTAGATTTCTTTTCTAGTGTTCCTCATATATGTCATGTTTTATTGTGTTTTTGACGTGAGCCCCCATAGAAATATCCGAGTTAAATATCCTGAAATGATTGAATTTTGACAAAAATGACAAAAATACGAACTTTGAGCTTTTGAAAAATAATCGAGTACTAGAATAAAAAGAAAAATTTAGAAAGTTCAAAATACATATGTTCCTAAATATTTTAATACAAAATTTCATAGATGTGATCAACTTGAAATATGTGTTATTTTCAGAGCCAAAAATCATGCTTATACAGGGTGACTTCGAAGTTGAGTCATTTATTTTAACAGTGAGTAGATCTGATCAAAAGAAATGTTTTTTTCCTTTAACATTTTTACGGTTTTACCGCCCTGTCTCAATAATAATATTATGTGCTCGTGTTTGGCAACAACGGATATAATCGGCCTTATCGGTTCATCGCATCGGAAACAAAAAAGAGAAAGAATTTGAAATGCTTATCACGATGTTTTTACTACAATTTTATTCAGTTGCATTCAGTCAATGTGTCAGTCGGTAACGCGTGAGTGAATAGTGGTGTTTGTTGCTTGGCTCAAACGAAATAAAAAATGGCACATGTTTACGAAAATGCTGAACTTGTGGACATGATTCTTTACAAAATGCTGCATCACGGATTTATGCGGATCGGTTTCCCAATCGAGTGCAACCAACCCCTCGTGCCTTTGTTAATGTAGTACAAAGGGCTCGTGAATCAGGTGACTTAAGACCTCACAGGGGAGGGCATGCCGGAGCTCCAAGACCGCACGATCAAATACAGGTCCGCACTGAAATACTTGGCGGGAGGATACTTTATAAAACAAGGTAACATTTTTTTTATTTTTTTTTTATTTTTACACACATATTTTGGTTTATCTTCCTTCTTCAATCATTATCTGAAAATTAATGACTCAACTTCAAAGTCACTCTGTAGATCCTGATCTTTTCACACTTTTTGAGATGTGCTGTGAACCCACGTTTTTTGTAAGAATGCCGTTCGGAGAACTTCACATACCTAACAGTGCTATTCGTAAAACAACTGCATCAACGCCCCGCCAATCTGCTTTATACTGCCATCCTCTTCCTTCATATATCCTACCGTCACCGCCGACTAGAAAGTTGTACAAAATATCAGATCTGTGCAAGGTGTACTTGTGCTTCTTTTGTAAATCTGAAAATATAAAAAGGCACTGCAATATTCAGTTTCGGAGACGAGATCAAAGCAATCGGCCAACTAGTATAGTATAATTTATTCGCACAATTCAATACAGTATGAAATAAAAAAAAAGAAATAAGCGAATAAATGAGAGTCCCATATGGAGGAATACTCATTGTACATGGGCAAATAGCATAAAATACAAAAATAAGACTCAGTAGTATAACGCATTGCTATAAATTATCCACATCAGGTAAATAGCACTCACAGATCGTTAAAGCATCCCACAAACCGGCGCGAAATAATCGCGGCGAAGTATTCGCAACGAAATTCAGAGCGAAATTCGCAATCTGTTTCGCCTGTTTATTCATACCAAAGCGTCTTATTCGCTCCGCGAACGTGAAGGTTTCGACAGGTTGCGTACATTTTATTTTTGCCTTTTGCAATGAGCTCGTCTTCAGAAGAAGAGGAGGCACTTCTATTTCTTGCTTTAGAAGAGGAACAAAATGCACGGTAAGTTATGTATATTTTACGCCATTTGATAGTTGGGTATGTATTAAGTTTAACGAAGTACATAAAATAAATATTTTCAATTTTGTTTAGGAAACGAAGGAACTGGGGAACTGGGTACATGATATTAACTTGGAACGAAATAAATTTGGGGAATACCATACCTTGATGCCACAACTTCGGCTGGATGAACAGCGCTTTTACGTATATTTTAGAATGACTCCAGAGTGTTTCGATAAAATATTGAACTTGGTGAAAGATGAAATATGAAAATCTGACACAAATTATCATGAAGCTATTTCGCCAGAAGAACGACTTGCTATTACACTCAGGTAAAAAAAATATATGTATTAAAATTAGTAGGCTTATCGAATACGAAAACTTCAGGGATCGTGAAATAAATATTTTATTGTAATAATTGGACATGTTGCCACTAGGATTAAATGTTGCTAAATAATTCTGTTGGGTATATTATTGGAGTAAACCCAGTGCCGCTTGGGAAGGACGACATACTACTATCATACATACTTGCAGAATTCTGGGTAGACGCTGAAGACATTTCTTCAATATGTTCAAATTCTTCGTGCGCTATTAATTCGGCTATTTTTAGTTTTATTCGGGCTTGACGCTTTAAGGGAAGTGTTTTCACAGTTTGTGCATGTGCCAAGAAAAGTGAATCAATGGACTCGTTCTCTTTTTTAGGTTTACCTTCAAAATAATTAATGAGCTGTTGTACAGACGAAGATGGTGGTTCATAGCGTTTTCTGCTCGTTTTATATTTTGGTGTAGTTGCAGTCTGCGGAAAGGTGTGCCCTGGAGTAGTCACTGCTGTAGTGTTCAATAAAGAAGGTGGTGCTGTCTGTGTTGCCGAGGCGTTCTGTGCATCTTCTGCATCTACATCAGCATTTTCATCTTCTCCATGGCCGCGGTTTTCCAAATTTTCGGTTTCTACATTTGCAGCCCTTTCCTGATATATATTTGAGTTAAGTTCGGCAGTCTCATAATGTATGACGTCAATATCTTTCACATTAGACGACGTTTTGGCAAATGCCAAAAAAGGACGGAAAAATTCCATGTAGTCAGCCCACTGCCATTTTTTTATGTTGCCCACTGCTTGGCCGGTCTTTGGTTTGGTAGATTTTATATATTTTGCAAATGTGTATCTGATATTCTTCCACCTTTTTTTTACTTCATCACCTAAAAACGATTTTTGTTATAGATTCCTTGCCACTGGTGACACCTTCTATACCATTGGGCATAGCTTTCGAGTTGGCTTTACAACAGTGAGTGCAATCGTAACCGAAGTCTGTGAAGCGATATGCAGACATATGGAGCATATATATTTACCAGAACCAACAGAGAATATATGGAAAAAATGTGCTGAAGAATTTGAAAATAGATGGGGATTTCCCAATTGCATTGGCAGCGTGGACGGTAAACATGTAACAATCAAGAGACCTAACAACAGTGGCTCCAATTACTGGTGCTATTTACATAAATATTCAATAGTACTTATGGCCATTGTTGGCCCGGACTATAAATTTATATGTGTTGATATTGGTGGTTTCGGAAAAAATAGTGATGGGGGTATTTTCGAAACCTCAAACATGGGAAAACGATTTGAACAAAATTTAATGAGTGTCCCTGCACCTAGATTTCTCCCTGGGCAAAATGAAATCTGCTCGTACGTCTTAATTGGTGATGAAGCATTTGCTTTAAAACCATACCTTATGAGACCATTTCCTTATAAGCAGACTTTAACAGACGTCAGAAAAGAGGAATACAATGTAAGACTTTGTCGAGCTAGAAGGGTCGTGGAAAATGCGTTTGGTATTTTGTCTCAAAAATGGCGAATATTTTACAGGCCATTAGAAACTAAAGTAGATACTACTATTCTAATTGTACGTACGGCATGTGTTTTACACAATTTTTTACGAAGTAAAAGTGGCGATGACAAATATTTTCAATTCTTAGATCCCCCAGAACCCGTGCTTGGAGCTTTTACTGATATAGCAAGTGATCCTCGGCGGGCAGCAAAGCTAGCATTTTCTACTCGTGACAAATTCGTAAATTATTTTAATTCTGATATGCCTATGCCCAATATATAGAATGTTCGTTTTCACATTTGTGTAGACTGTAAATTATTTAACAAGTTAATAAAAAATATTAGGTACATACCATTTGTATTTAATTCTTTTCCTATTTCCATCCAAATCTTGTCTTTCTTTCTCACATTCCTGTATTCATCGTTCGGCAAATCATACAAACAAGGATACTTTTTCACTATTTCTATCAATAATTCTGTTTTTGCCATTGCGAGTTTTTGAAGAACGGCATCAAAAACGCGGTCAAAGGCGAACTGAAATACGCCGCGATAAAAACGCTGGAACAATCGCATTCGTTTCACACAAGTCTGAGCCTGTCCGTAAACCGCCGCGTTTATCTGATCGCGAATTCATCGCCGCGAAATTTTCGCAGCCAAAGCGAATATTTCGCGCCGGTTTGTGGGATGCTTAAAAGAGTCACAATCAGGTAAGAAGTCACATTCAGGTTAAGCAATCACGATTTAAATATACAATCACGTTAGACAAAAATCAGAGTAAGTATACTAAGTGACATATAAATCCGAACACCCAGTTTAAATGGTTTTATTTTAATATTTAAAGTTGGTGAATGTATTTATCTTACTGTAAACAACAAGTGAAAAAATTTTCAGCCTTATCAGTTGGACATTCCGGTTTTTATACTGCTTTTTTTTTAATTCACTAACGCTCTAAAAATGAATATTTCAGCCGCAGTAAAGAATCAACGTTGGCGGATTTTGGTTCTTGACATCCTTTACGATCGTTTACGATGCCTAGAGTACGGAGACCTGTACGATTTCGTCAACTTAGTGAGTTTGATAGGAGCCGTATAGTGGGACTTCGGGAAGCTGGACTTTCTTTTCGGGCAATTGCAGTTAGAGTGCAAAGAAGTGGTTAGGTGTTGTCAGGCATGGCTTCGAGAAGGCCGTACGCAAAGAGCAAGGGGCACTGGACGCCGCCGTAGAACAACATACCGTGAAGATCGCCGCCTAAGATTATTGGCCTTAAGGGACCGTTTCTCCACTACCAGGTCCATTGCAAATGAATGGTTTGCAGAACACGGAAGACCTATTGGCATGCGAAGTGATTACCGACGAATGAGAAGTTTTGGCTTGTTTTCATACCGGCCACACTGGGTCCTCCCTTTAACTCGAGAACACCGACGTAATCGCCTTGAGTGGTGCAGACAACGGTCACTCTGGGATCAGGAATGGAACAGTATTGTCTTTAGTGACAAGTCTCGATTTTGTTTAGGCATGCACGATGGTCGTGCCAGGGTTAGAAGGCGACGTGGTGAAAGGAGGAATCCACAGTTTTTTGTTGAAAGACATGTGTTCATCACACTGTTGGAGTTATGGTTTGGGGTGCTATAGCTTATGGTTCCAGGTCACCTTTAATCTTCATCAGAGGTAACATGAACGGGCAGCGTTATATCCACGAAGTTCTAGAACCCCATCTTTTACCCTATCTTGATACCCTGGCAGATCCAACTTTCCAACAAGATAATGCCCGACCACATGTTGCAAAAGTCACAATAGACTTCTTTCAACATAATGATGTCACATTGTTACCATGGCCACCAAGATCTCCCGACTTATCCCCAATTGAGCACGTGTGGGATATGATGGGTAGGAGATTGCTAAATTTGCAACGTCCTCCTCAGACTCTAGAAGCACTTCGAGAGGAGTTGGTGGTTGCCTGGAATGAGATACCACAGGAGGACATTGACCACCTGATCAGAAGCATGCCTAGGCGCGTTGGAGAATGCGTAGCACATCAGGGTGCATCCACACATTATTAAAGGTCAAAGGGCTTTAAAGCAGTGCAATCATTTTGAAATTTTTATCATTCACTTATTATGCTTCATTAAGTACTTATACAAAATTTTATCAAAATAAAACCATTTAAACTGGGCGTTCGGATTTATATGTCACTTAGTATATTTACTTCTCTTCTAGATATCGATAAATAATGTGAAGAAAATTTACTTGAAAACAATGACTAAAAAAGTCGAAATTTGTTGTGCTATTTCTTTTTTCTTGAAAGTAAATATTTCATTAGAATTAGTCTAGTTCAAATGGAAAATAAAAATCTATATGAAATTTTCGCTATGATGATTTTGAAATGATTTATGGCATAAAGTAACACTCACTTTGGAGTATATTTTTCACCAATAAATTTTATAGTTTGAATATACTCACGTCCAAATTTAGGTTTTTCTTTACACCCTTTGTAATTTTCATTAATTATGGAGCTTGTTAAATGGCCCGAAAAAACTATTTTATCAATCAATTAGCTCAAAGAAATGTCTTCTATACATAACATTAAAAAGATCGTAGCATAAACTCAAAAATTAAAAAGTTTTTCAAATGTTTCTACCTTTGGTAGGATCTGGAACCTTTTTTCATGCTAAAGAACAATACATCAATAACCTGAACATCAATTTTCATCCATTATCGAACTTCCGTTAGATCAAAACTATCCGTTTACTGGGCTATTTGTTGTAAACGGGCCATTGCTGCTTAGCTTACCTTCTCAAATACAAAACAAGAGCTAAAGTACTATCACGATACATGATCTTACCTTGAACCTGTTTCACGCAGTCTGAATCAGTCTCACAGATAGGGGTGTTGGTTTGCGATAGCAGTATTCGGTAGACCGGCAGCGTTAAATTAACAGTGTTGGCACCAGGTGGCTCTGCATTCCAATATCTTCTTGTTACTAGGTAGAAACTTTCCCTTATCGGCTCCTCGTCACCTGAAAACTTTTTCATACAAGCCCATTTTCAAAATAGCGTGCTGTTTGACGTTGGGCAAATTTTACGGTGCTGTTGCGTTTTGTAGAACTTCCGATTTCACTGTTTTTTCACTTGAAACTTATAGAGGGTAGTCTTATAGATTATTTTAAAACAAGAAAAGTGTGGATGAAGCACTTTTTCATGAACATTTTTTCCCAAAACACTGTATTTTTAGCAGTTTTTCCACCATTAACTCCACCGCCATCCGTCGTATGACGTTGACGTCTGTGCATGGCGCGCTTGCCTGCACTGTTGCCAGATTGGGCTCCGCATTTAGGGGAAAGTATGAAAAGTGGAAAATTTATATACTACGTATATTTAAATAATGAAACACAAAAGCGAAAAACTGAAACAAACAACAGCGGCAAAATAAAAAGCGATTCTTAATAATTATATAACAAAATATAACAGTAGTAAACTAAACAACAATTGTAAATAATTATAAAAACAGTAAAACAAGAAAAAATTCCATGTAATTATAGAAAACAAAAAACAATACAGGGAACTGTGGGTCCTGGGCCTCTTTGATGTCTCCACGAAACGTGGGCACATTATTTATGTGTCAAATAGGAATGCGACTACGCTTGAGAGCGAAATACTAAAATTTGTCAAGCCGGGAACAGAAGTCTGGAAGGACGGTTGGGCCGGCTACAATCGCTTGGGGAACCTAGGTGGTGTTTCCCCCTACATCCATGAAACATTGAACCGCACACTAAATTTTGTGGAACCGGTGCACTAATGAAATTGAAGGGCACTGGTCTAGATTAAAGCAATTTTTGAGGCGGCTGGGTGTCATGCAATCGCCTCATTTACCCGAATATATTGACCAGTTGATTTGGTGGGGGCTCTATGGTCCTAGACCCGGAGACCGATTCAAAAATATATTGCGACAAATTGCCGCAAAGTATCAGTTTTAATATTAAATACTTGTTCATTTTAGTTTTTGTATTTGTTTTTTAATTTACTGTTTTTAGTTTCTGTTTTTTATCACTTAGAATTGCTTTTTATTTTACTGTGTTGTTTTTTGTTTTTTATAATTACATGGAATTGTTTCTTGTTTTACTGTTTTTATAATTATTTACAATTGATTTTTAGTTTACTACTGTTATATTTTGTTATATAATTATTAAGAATCGCTTTTTATTTTGCCACTCTTGCTTGTTTCAGTTTTTCGCTTTTGTGTTTGATTATTTAAATGCGGAGCCCAATCTGGCAACAGTGCAGGCAAGCGCCTCTCATATACTATGATATATGCACAGACGTCAACGTCATACGGCAGATGGCGGTGGAGTTAATGGTGAAAAAACTGTTAAAAATACAGTGTTTTGGGAAAAAATTATTTCATGAAAAAAGTGCTTCATCCACACTTTTCTTGTTTTAAAATAATGTATCAGACTACCCTCTGTAAGTTTCAAGTGAAAAAACAGTGAAATCGTAAGTTCTACAAAACGCAACAGCACCAATTTTACACTATAAACAGTGCCACTTAGTATTAATGCATCAAATGTTCTATAATAATCACTCGCACGAGTGATTTCAAGAATATCCTGTCTACCCTAGAAATCAATAAAATTGAATTTGCACACTATCTCCGCGTCTATTCCTACTTTGACCGGCCTATAGTCAACACGGCCCATCAATCCCCTCTTCCAATCCAGGAAGCGCGAGACTCGCAATTGCTATTGGCTGAAATCAACTGTCCTTTTATTCAGTTGTTTTTAAAAATGTAATCTGTATAACCTGTACGGTGATTCGGAATTTTTATTGATTTCAAAGGGAAAGCTCAATAGTGATCGGTAAAATGTATCGGAGAAGTGCGAATTAAAAAAACGTGAGTGATTTACGCGTTTGGAATGTATGAGTCGTGCAAAATCGGTTGTGCTAGCCCCGAAAAACGTCTGGTGCACAATGTTGGAATATCGCTGTGGAAAACGACGCCGACTGGTGAGTTCGTTTCTGTATAATTTTCTGCTGATATCTTCTATGAGAAATGGCAAAATGGACCATTGATGGATATATTCTGCCATAATTGAAATGGAAACATGATTGAAATAAGCTGTAGGGCTCGCCTGTTTCCTGGGGTTATGATGATGTACGATGTGACGTATACAGGGTGTTCCCTAATTTAATGTCAATAAATACGGAGACGATTTCTGGCTCCATTTTAAGAAGAAAACTTCATATGAACGTATGTCCTAAATATCTACTTTTGATAAACTTGGTGCTGGTAAAGCTTATCTGTGATAATATCACTTAAAAGTTAAAACTAATAATATAGGTACCTAGCTTATGTTCGTCCGACCACAAACGGTCAACCATGGACAGCTGTTTGGTGCTATTTGGCAACTCATCAGCTAGGTTTAGGGTGGGTCGCAGGTAGGACAATGAACGTAAACTGAGCAGTTATCATCTATCCAGGATACAAGGTCTATTACTGAAATAAAGCACAATCGTAGTGACCACTTTAGATATTTTAAAGTTTGGCATACTCTGTGTCAAGAAGCATTATTTAATGTATTGCGTTTGAGTTAAATTCCCACCAGTGGCGTTCGTAGGGAATTTCAGCTGCGTATTTTGGTAGACATTGATTATAGGCCACCGATTTCTCTCAAGTATGCTATTTCATTTCTAAGCAAATTTGATAGCTTAATTTTCCAAACCAATGTACGCCTTTCGCTTAAAAAATAAAAACCGTTTCTCTGCTAGATCACAGCAATATCCTTAACATGACAATTTCACCATGCAGAGAAATAACTTTTTTTTAGGTGGTAACCGTGCGTCGGGTTAGAAAAATCGAGATTAAATCTGCTCATAAACAAATACAGATTTATTTTTTTTTATTACGTGGCACGCCACTGATTTTCTGTATTGGAAACTTTACGACCCCTTGGTGAAGTTTTAGTAGCAGTTTTATCTAAAGAGGTATTTATGGGCAATAATAAATTATTATTTGGTATTTGTCTAACTTAGCTACACACCAGTCGTACTTGTTTCTAGTCCAGAATAGTCACTAGGTTTGAGTTGTAAATGATGGCGACTAAAATTTTAGAGGGGTGGCGGCTGCATGCTTGAGCACTTGAGGAGTACTTCTGATAGCAAATATCCTTGTGACAATAGACCTCTTGATCCATATCTGATTTCAAACAAAATATTATTTTATTTTTAATATGAAGCGGTGAAAACACAGCCGATAGGCCATGATGTGACCTCATGCAAATTGTAAACAAAGAAACGTCATCCGCATGTCACTCATGGACTAACGTTGTCTTCGTTAAGTATTTCTAAAAAACTGCCAGTCACAGTAAAAAGCTTTACTTTTGTTTTCTCGTTTTATCGGAAAAACAGAATTGACACATTGATGGTTGGTAATTTTTTTTGACTTCAACCCAGATTTCTGCTGAGTTGAGGAACATCAAGACTTCTATGTAAGTACAGTACATCTGATACAAAAAATAAAGAATAAGTAATACATTTACATAATCTGCTTTTTCAGAAATTATTCAAAACTAAGCTCATGCGTCATAACTTCTGAATAATTTTATCTAATACTGTATGTTTCTTATTATTAATCTACCGTACGGTGACGATCCCGTTTATAACGTCCAAGTTCCTGAGTTCTTTATCGATGTGATTTTACATTCCCGGACGATGCAATAACGGTAATTACTATATCTTTCATTTAAGCTTGTAGAAGTCATGTTTAAAAGTGGGTATTTATAGGTATTTAGAAAATATGGTATGACTTCTTGGTCTAATAGAACAAATATCAACTATTTAAGACCTACTTAAAAAGTGTCAACCAGCCTAATACGTCTAGGGAGGGGGCGTCTCACTATTCTCGTAATAGCAAGGGATTTTTACACCAACATGCGGCTATATATTGCCACGAGTGATCACCCTGTAGCGCATTAGATGCGCCACAAAGGCGCCATATAAGTCGATAGATAACCTAAACCGCATCCGCTGAGAAATGCATAATCTGCAAAGGTGATTTGCCGCCGATGGGGGTCCTATTCTGGATGGGCCCACCGTGGGATTATTCCTGCCCTGGAATCACTCGGGGCGAATATCTCTTCGTGGGACTAGACCTTCCTGGGCCAAAAAGTAAGCACCTGTTTCATTTTATTGTACTTTTATTTGCGGCGTTCTGCTAATAGACGTTGACATATTTTTTCGTATTATCATTTCAGCCTCCATATACAGGGTGTAAACGTTATGATAGTCATTATCTAAATGGGTGATAGAGGGGATTAAAAAGCAAAAAGTTTCATATAACATGGGGGTCAAAACGACATTTTTTAGAGAAAAGCGACTTTAAAGTAAAGTAAAATCTGACAACGCCGCAATGCCAGACGCAAATTACGACGGAACGTAGTGTAAATGAAGATGGAGTTTGTTATTTTTGGCTCTTAGGTATTATTTCATTATTTGATAATGTACTCGTAAAATGCAGGTAATTAAAAAAACGGACTCACCACTAACTGTCTCAGCGCTTCACCTGGTGTGTGACAGTTTATTGAACGTATTAAAAAATCCACTTATAAATAGGGAACTCAATTTTGATAGATACATACATAGTTTTCCTTTTTAAAACCACACTGCTCTTTTTTGTATTCAAAGAAGGTGTTCAAAATGTCGTCCTCCACTTTCCACACAAGCGTCATTCGACGAACCCAGTTTCTTCTTACTCTAGGTCCTCGAAGTTGTCCATTTATTATTTCAGCCGCATTAAATTTTTTTTCGCGAAGTTGTGCTTCAGTTGTTATTGGACCAGCCCCATTTAGTTCTCCCCAATACCAGAAATCCATCGGATTGAGGTCAGGAGATCTTGCTGGCCATTTTCGAGGATCAGGAGCATTTCGGCCGATCCAGCGATTTGGATAATTTCATTCAAATACTGAATGACGCCTCTACAAATGTGTGGTGATGCATTGATTTCCACGATATTAAAAATTTGTTCCTCCTGCTCTACAGTAACCTGTCTTTCA